AGAACCGATGAATCTGAGAGATTCCTGAGAAAATTAGGGTTTTGTTTAGTCAATTCCATGTGGTAAACTCAGAACCGATCAGTGATTTTCTGCTGCATTTTGTTTAGAGTTGCGAGAGAGAAAGTGAGTGTGGAGGTTTTAGAGAGAGAAATGGAGATGGATGAAGATATGGAAATCGAACCGATGGTATTTGATGTGAGAGAGATCGATCTGGAGTACGAGTTTGATGCGTCTCGGTGGTACGATTTTACTCGGTTGGAGTTACCGGCGGAGTCTCAAGCCGCCGAGTTCTGGTTTCACTCTGCTCCGTCGTACCAACCCTCTCGTGAGTATTATCATCATCATTCACTCTTTAGACCTTCTGAGTTCTTCGTTAGTTTTCAATTGATTTTGCAATGTGGTCAAGATTTGAGATAAGTTTTAGGAGTTCATCGGAAATTTGATTCGTATTGTGATCAATTTGATTCCGTTTCTATGCTTTGAAATTAGAAAATCTTGCTTTCTTGCCTTTTTTTTATATTAGATCAAAGGTGAATTTTGGTATTAATTCTATGTATTTTCTTAAGCATTCGCAACAAAACTGTTACTTAGAGAAGAGGAGGTTTGTGATGACAAGACCGAGGCATCGACAAGATCAGAGGATGTCGAAGTCGAAAACGATAGAGGAATTTTTCAGCATTCAAGTTACTTAGCCACAGATTTGAATAAGACAGGTGAATTATAGGAATGTTTGGATCATGTAAACTTGCATCTCTTCATTAGTTTTAGAGTTGAGTATCGTTGTGGGGTCGGAGAACCGAGTAATGGAAGCTAAAAAGTATCTTTGTGTTTTTTCTTTTTTGCAGGAAATGGAATGCGTTCTGGGATTTTTAGCTCCCTACAAGGTAGTAATTTGAAGAAAACTCCACATCAGTCCATATGCAAAGGTGATGATTTTGTGATAGTAGCAACATGACCATCAATGTTTAGTTCAATTATTGTTTATGCTCATATAATATACTATGTTTCATCATTTTCTTGGTAGCTTTAGATGTGCTCAATCTTACTTTTGACCATTTTTGGAATTTATTGTATTCATCAAACTTGTTTCCCCTTAAGACATTTACCTATAGACTGTGTTCTTAATTTTTTACTGTCACTTTCTCTACTTTTAACAGGACCAACGGTTAGCAATCACAAACACACTGACAAACCGAAATTCCGTTCTAAGTCAAGCATCAGGTCAACTCCAAGGAGCTCAACGTTAATGAGACCTACTGCTAGCCAGTTAGCAAAACAAAATAATGCCAGGTGAGTTTTGGAGCCTGTAAATCTTGGTATGTTCTTCCGTCAATTTAATTTTATCCGCTTAATGCGTATCTTCTTTTGTTGGTGTATAGTAGATTACATATGCAAGTTGATCCAATTCATGAGAAAGGCGTTTGTGGGACATCTGGGACCGATGTTCAAGCGGCTAAAAGACAGAAGCTTGATGGAGGTCTTCTTCGTAAGGTAGAGTGTTTAGCAGTCATCAGTTTGAAATGTGTGCAGTTTCCTGTAACAATGTACTAGGTATGTGAACTTAGGGGATGAAACTAGTGGCACTAAAAGTCATTTATACTCCAAAATTTCTTCTCTTTTTTCAGGTTGCTGATACAAAGCCGGAGATGAATTTTATCCACAAGGCACCCAAGAAGGTTAGCTTTCTATTGCCTGGATATTGTTGAAATTGCTCGAGGAGTCTAAATGTGTCTGTATATGGAATATTCAAACTTTTCGGTTTGCAGGATCCAACTGTTGATCGAAACACACAGCATGCCAGGACAAAGATTACTATCCCACATGAGCCTGATTTTGCTACATCTCAGAGGGCTAACAGAATAAGGTTAGGGCCTAGATGTTTGCCGAAATTTAACTGTTACAGTCTAGTTCACATCTCACAGGTTTTTGTTTTTTCCTAATGATAATTTCAGGCAGAAGAACGATTCCAAGTTAGAAAAGGACTCTACAGCTGTATATAGATTTAAAGCACGTCCATTTAACCGAAAGGTTTGTAACTTGGTATTGCTACTAGGAAATGTGTTTTGGAATTGATTTCATTCTCTTGGCCCAGCTCAAGCTCATGTTTGTGATCTGTAGATATTTGATGCTCCCTCGTTGCCCATCCGGCAAAAGAGTACTCTAAAACTACCCGAATTCCAAGTAAGCGTTACAAAATGAATTCATCTCACCTGCCTAGTGTTTCCCCGCCATATAGTTGTATCATACTTAAGATTATATTTATTGCATTTCCTTATCAGGAATTCCGTTTCAAGACTTCAGAGAGGGCTATGCAACATTCTTCAGCAGTAACAGCAAGATCTTATCAGGGGAATGATGTGTCTAAGGTAGCAACAATATTGCTTTATATTAGCTGATGCGCGTCTTGTGATCTTAGCATCTAAACAACTTGATCCTTCTCAAAGCGCTGCCTCTAAAGTAAACAAAATTTCTTTTTGACAGGGGCCAGACAAGTCTAATACGACTGGTGTGCTTGACGGTGTTAACAGGGAAAGTAGGAGGTATGACTAAAAAATCACATATAAAATTAAAAAAGGTTGTCATTTCATGCAATTATTATGAATATAAACTTGGAAATTGAATAATTTTTGCAGACCAAGCGCCATGGATACACCTAAGCATGACGTCTCGGAGGGAAACCACGTTTTTAAAGCTCGTCCTCTGAACAAGAAGGTACTATCCTTTCTCGAGTCTCATTCGCTTGCATTATAATTTTTTCATACCTAATATACCTTTTTTCACTTCTGCAAAACAGATACTTTCAAGCAGAGTAGACACTGGAGTTTTCAAAAATAGCAAGCGGGAAACAACAGTACCTTTGGTATGATAGTCTTGCCGATTATTCTTTGCACTTAGTCTTCTGTTTGTTTGATAAATGGAGTGTTTCCTTATGAGTACATAAACTGTTTTCTGAAATACAACAACACAGGAGTTTAGTTTTCATTCAGAAAAGAAAGCTCAACCAGATTTACCCACAGACCTTTTTAGTAAGGTAACGTATGATCTCTCTTAAACGCACTCTAGTTCTTTGAATAGTCTCCTAGTTTCTTTACCCGGTTTTTTTTTAAACTTATAGCTCTCCATCAAATCTGAGCTTCAGCCAAACAACGGAGGATTTCGTAGTAGATTTCCTCAACCAAAGGTGAAGCTTGGAAAACTCAGTTCCACTTGA